CAAAATGCAAAAGTAAATACTTCGAATTTTATAAATAGTATACAATTTGTGTACTTTATCTAGACAATCGTAATAAGAAAGTATTCTCGTTTCTTCACGAAATATTAGTTTATTTTTTTCGTTTCTAATCTCATTGTAAACATTCCACCACGTTACAGGATGGAAGAAGTTCCTTTTGACAAAATTTATGAAGTTTTCTGAAAAACGATCGTCTTGAAACAAACCGACAATGAAAACTAAAATATCATCTACCGCTGGAATAGCAACGTCATCTATGGAATGAAAAACATAAAAAGCCACGACGAATTCTACAAACATTCTATGAATAAATTCGAAGTATTGCCCTGAATATTTTACAAATATATTCAGACCAAGGATAAACTTGTACTCTTCCTTATTGTTAAAAGTATTGTTCAAATCTTCCTCTGATATTCTCTGTGTTTCTAAAATAGAAGCCAGATTATGTTGTTTAAATTCTTTAGTATAACACAAACTGCCTAATTTAATAATTAAATCTTCTCCATCAAAAATTTTTCCTTTTTTAAGTTTCAGAGTATCACCTTTCTTATATTTATACCTTTCAATAATATAATGAAAAATACAGATAAATAGATCGGTCTTTGTTTTTATCTCTCTATCAAAACTACTCTTAGGAAGGCAGCATAACATTTGCAATAATAGTGGGCATTTTGCTAATTCTGAAGTATCAGTTTTTACGAGATTAATCAAATAATCTCTTTTATCTTTGTCTTCATTAATCATAAAATCTACGAAGTTTACTTTTTTCTCTGGGGAGAATCCTTCGATGCAATAATGTTCATCGAAATGTATCCTAATTGTATGTGTAAAGGGTGAACGGCTGGTAACAATAATTGTCATTTTCTCAGAAATATTAAAAGAATCGTAAATGATAAATTGTATTACACGTTCTTTGTCACGAATTTCGTCGAGCCCATCTAAGATTATCAGAACGTTCCATTCTGGTTTTCTTAGTGTCGTGAAGCTTCGAAACGTATAAATGTATTCGAGGACAGCACTAGTTATATCTTCCATTTTCAATTTACGTAATTCAATTATATGTACGAAATTAAAATCTGATCCTTTTTGATTTATTGCCCAATCATAGGCAATTTTTGTACATATGGTCGTTTTACCATATCCTGGATCTCCAGTGATCAGAACTGTTCTATGCTCTGTAGGGTTTTCAGCAAAAATATCTTTTATTTGAATAAATGTTTCTGTTCCTTGTTCAAAGTCATCGTATTTTTTGAGTTTCACATCCACGAAATATTTTTCTATTGAGAAATCTCGGTCTTCCTTATCGCAGAGTAAAGACTTGACATATGCGAAATTTGTCTTATATTTATTCATCATTTCGTCTCCAAATTTCACTGAAATGAAATAAACTCAAAATTTATCATTTTTTATGCTCAAGTATGCATATCTTTTACTTTTAAAAAATTTGTCGAAATTTAACTGCTAAAATAACGAAATGATAGCCGACGCCTGCCAGGAGATCATTTAGGGCCTTTATTTAGGTGTTACTAATGTGAAGCAAACACTAAAACCTCCACGTGCCATGCCCGTTGGTCAGGCTCGAACCAAAGACCAACCACCAGCGTTCAGTGGATCTATCTACTCAGCCACTGATGTCTGTGGTGAAAAGGAATGTTGTAATATATATTAGAGAGGTTGCGGCCGACGTTTTCAACGGGAAAACGTGTACATCGGACGATCAGCGCCGCAATCCTGTAAGCCTAGAAGTTTGACAATGGTGTTTAGGACGTCGAGCATGATTCCACTGACGTTCCAAACGCCATTGTCAAACTTCTTGGCTTACAGGAAGGCGGCGCTGAACGTCCGACGTACACGTTTTCGCGTTGAAAACGTCGGCAGCAACCTCTCTATTATTAACACATGAGAATATTATTATGCAACCAAATGTGAAATTCGGTTCGATAATAAGAAATCCGTTAAAAAGATGTTATAGAAGATATACCATGCATACACTTGGTTATGGTGTAGTGTTTCTAAATAGAGATATTTCTGGTATTCGGAGTTAACTGGCCCATTTAAAGCGCCTGGTAAATTATAGTAAATTTTACATGGTATAAATACGAGAGAGTTTCGAGTACAAAATTTTATGAAATTAAAAAAAAATCGTTTATTAAGCTCCGAAATTTCCTGTTCATAAAGATTGAATAGTAACAACAACATTGCGTGCCTGGTGATTACAGACACACGCATACACACAGTAATTTGATTTACGGTCTATTCTAATGTTCACCTCACTGACTGTTATATATAACAAAGGTAAAGTATGGCGATCGGTCAAAAATGACCCCCACCGCATGATTTTTACATTTTTGGACTCCAGGACCTTCGAAACGTCCAGACATGCAAAACAGTTCAGAGGTTTTTCTGTATATATGGATGGTAGTGTGTGTGTATGTGGGGGTACGAATTTTTTCACCAAATACGAAGCTTGATTACTCCTTTACGTTTTGTATAAGTTTCTGAATTTCTGCAGGGTAGTTTGCGTGTTAGGAACACTAATGCTGTTAAATTTTGGCAGTAAAAGGTCGAGATGGGGAGATACAGGTGACGTCTCATATTTCGAATGAGATCGGATCTAATATAGAATTTAATCGTTATTTAGTATTTATTTATTTATTTTTAATGAAACGCGGTTTTTCCCTAAAAATCAAGCTTTTTATCATTCTATAATAATTAATAATAAAAATAAATTTTAAAATAAAATTTTATAACAGTTGGCTCCACCACAATTTTAAATTATTTTGCCAGGAAAGTTACGCAACTCGTTGCTAGATATTTTGGAATAGCGCATAGCGAAGTTGTCCTCTGTTTGGGTAATTTTTCGCATATAACATTAGTTAATACTTACCTTTAACTGTCGAACTTTCGAGAAATTTATACTTTTTTTCGAGTTGAAATCTACCCTGTAAAGCATTACTTAATATGTAAAGAATGTAATACTTAAATAAACATAAAAGGTTGTGAATCCGTATATCAACTCACCTTGCCAGAAGATAAATGAATTGCCTTACATGGTTCAAAGCTCTGAAATGACCATTCAGACGTTGAAAATTTTATTTCATTATCAAACGCAATCTCCATTTGTAACATTTCTCTTCCGAGTCGAGAAATTTGCCGAGAAAAATCTTCACTCTTCTCTGCTTCATTCTCTGAGCTTTCAAATGTTGAAAATTTCATTGCTTTATCAAATGCAATCTCCATTTCTAACATTTCTTTTTCTAGTCGTAAAGTTTGCCGATAAAAAGCTTCATTCCTCTTTGCCGCAACATATTCCTCAACTTCACTAAATCTTTCAATATTTTCTTCGCATAAAATAGAAAATTGTGAATTAATACGACGAACAATGCCATATAAATTAAGTCTGAAGCTATTCCAATTAATAAACTGGAATACATGTCTTAAAGCTTCAATGGACTTGTTTAAATTTCTAAATCTATAGCCAAAGCGAGGAGTGTCGTCGCGAAACACCTTTTCAATTAGCACATGTAACCTTACTTTAGGATAGTAGATCAATCTGAGACTTTTAAATAATTTAATCAGTTCTTTTTTCACATTGTAAAAAATATATCCTGGAGAATAAAATTTTTCGAGCGTACGTGATTGGACTGGACTATATTCAGATAACTTATCAAAATCAGACAAAAAGGGAATGCAGATGTAAATTGGGACGAACATATAAACTTTATGTAACTTCAATACTTCGTAAGAACAATCGTAATAAAACACTATTCTCGTTTCTTCACGAAATATTAGTTTATTTTTTTCGTTTCTAATTTCATTGTAAACGTTCCACCACGTTACAGGATGGAAGAAGTTCCTTCTGACCAAATTTATCAAGTTTTCTGGAAAACGATCGTCTTGAAACAAACCGACAAGGAAAACTAAAATGTCATCTACAGCTGGTATGACAACGTCTTCTATGGAATGAAAAACATAAAAAGCCACGACGAATTCTAGAAACATTCTATGAATAAATTCGAAATATTGCTCCGAATATTTTACAAATATATTAAGACCAAGGATAAACTCGAACTCTTCCTCATTGTTAAAAGTATTCTTCAATTCTTCCTCTGATATTCTCTGTGTTTCTAAAATAGAAGCCAGATTGTGTTGTTGAAATTCTTTACTATAACATAAACTGCCTAATTTAATGATTAAATCTTCTCCATCAAAAAATTTTCCTTTTTTAAGTTTCAGAGTATCACCTTTCTTATTTTTATACCTTTCAATAATATAGTGAAAAATACAGATAAATAGATCGGTCTTTGTTTTTATCTTTCTATCAAAACTACTCTTAGGAAGGCAGCATAACATTTGCAATAATAGTGGGCATTTTGCTAATTCCGAAGCATCAGTTTTTATGAGATTAATCAAATAATCTCTTTTATCTTTGTCTTCATTAATCATAGAGTTTACGAAGTATACTTTTTGCTCTGGGGAAAATCCTTCGATGGAATAATGATCATCGAAATATATCTTAATTGTATGTGTAACGGATGGACGGCTGGTAACAATAATTGTCATTTTCTCAGAAATATTAAAAGAATCGTGAATGATAAATTGTTTTACACGTTCTTTGTCACGAATTTCGTCGAGCCCATCTAAGATTAACAGAATATTCCATTCAGTTTTTGTTAGTTTCACGAAGCTTTGAAACTTATAAATGTATTCGAGGACAGCACTAGTTACATCTTCCATTCCCAATTTACGTAATTCAATTATATGTACGAAATTAAAATCTGATCCTTTTTGATTTATTGCCCAATCATAGGCAATTTTTGTACATATTGTCGTTTTACCATAGCCTGGATCTCCGGTGATCAGAATCGTTCGATGTTTCCCACACTTTTTAGCGAAAATATCTTTGATTTGAATAAATTTTTCTGTTCCTTCTTCAAAATCATCGTATTTTTTGAGTTTCACATCCACGNAGTTTATCGTAAAGAAGCGGAAGTTGCAAGGGGACAGGATAATCACGTGAGTAGACGAGTCGTAAACCCGCACAATACCTTTCCTGTTGTCATTTTTTTAATCGTAATGTAAAGAAAAAATGCAGCACACAACGAAGAGGGGGATTTATAAAGTAATAACTAAATTATAAGCATTCGTTGTCCAGGAAAATGAAAGTAAATTTACGTATAAAATCTCCTGTTTTAATTCCAAAATGTTATGAAATCACATGTCCTTGAAAAAGCTGATACGAGAGTATGGAAAACATCGATGATTAACTTCGCCACGTCATATCCCGCCTTCATGTTTCGAATAAATTTCTTACAGTATCACTAAACGAAATGAATAAAATTAACGGTGAGTGGATATTACAGTCTTAATACTTTAAATACATTGCTAAGCTTTAAAGATTATAGTGTAAATTTTAGAATTAAGTATTAAAAGTATTTTAAATATTTACCAAAGCGTATAGTATATTGAGAGGTATAAACATTGTTTTTTTCACTCTATACGATGCTTTTTAAGATTGTATAATACGAGATATTATTCTACTTAAATTTTCTTTCTTTATCCTGCTTTTCCGCCATGTTTTCTCCACCCGTCGTTTTCGGGAGCGCACGGGATGACGGGATAATTTCGATTGGCTGAATGTAAGATTTTTTGGTTAAGGTATCCAGCTAAAAAAGGTCTTATACTTAATATTAACGAATAGACATAGATAAATCTAGACGTAATTTGACACGCTGAATCGATTGGTATTAAAAAAATTACTTACGTTCAACCGTTTAAAAGTTACGAATGATTTTTTATTTCCGGCTATTTACTTCGTTTAAGAACAACTTTATTAAGAAATACGCAGGCACTCATCGATATTAACAAAACGAATTACTATAATTCACCATAATACATTCCATCTACGAGAGAAAGTGACATAAAAAATGCTAAAATGGTGTCGTTAGCCAGCGAACACGCGTAACCACGACAAGGGTGTAGGACAATTGACGCAGGGAAATTTTCTCTCACCGGTGGGGAATATGTCGAGCGTGACGTCACTTCTACAATTCCCTACACGCACGTGAGCAGTAACAGAAATAGTTGACACGGTAATATAATTTATTATATATTATTTAAAACAAAATTAAAAATTTAATAACAAATTTAGTTTTCCTCATGTTACTTTTTAACAACATTAACGTCTTTAGTTCTTTATCTCAAGAAATCCGCTGTTATGGAAAGGTCTCCAGCTTTAATTGCGTTTTATACGTATTCTTTCCTCGCTGTTCCACATCTAGGGGTTTATATGGCATGCACATACTACACACTCGTCATTAAAGCCTTCCTACGTCCATTTTATATCACTTAAACAGCTACGAACGCTTTTATCGTAGAGGCTGGCTGCTCTGTACTCCTCCCATCACAACTGAAGCAAAAGGTATCCAGCTTTAATTGCGTTAGATTTAAGATAGCTTTAACAGATAAAAAGGAAGCAAAAGGAGAGGGTGAAACCGTCATCCATCAAGTGGTACTAATCCTGAGGTTCAGATAATTAGTAGGGGTGAGACGCAGGGGCGGACTGGCCCTAAAATTTTTGTGTGGAAAATTTATTACCAGCCCAGCCCACAAATAAAAAAAAATGTATTTTTTTCTATTTATATTTACTTGACAAAAATTACAATAATCACAAGTCTATATTCTACAATGTTAATTTTTTATTTAGAAGTTTGCTTTGTTGAGCAATAATATTAACGACATCATCAGAATGTATTTCGTTTAAAAAAATTCTTCTCCACTGACATTAACACGAAGGCTTCTAGATTTTTTTTGCGAGATACTTATAAGTATCTCAGCCTGCTTTTAGTTAATAATTTTAACATAGAAAAGTTTTGTTCACCGGACACTTGTGTTACAGACATAGATAGCAGATATTTGTATGCTTGACCAAGTATAGAATAAGCGCCACTTAACACGTTATATCTGAATAATATATTATAACAACAAATAGAGCAATTTTTGCAAGCAATGCAGTAAGAGAATAGTATATAAATGTATGTTTTGCCCCACAAATTTAAGATTTTTAAAATTATATGAATTTAATCTAATCAATATTAAAAATCATAAAATCAATAGTAAAAATTAACTAAATTTAAAAACTGTTGAAATCTCATTCACTTATTATAAAATTAACTAAATTTTAAAATTTCATTAATTTTTACAAAATTAACTAAATTTAATCACAATGATTTATTTAAACCAGTTTAAGAAAAGAAAATATAAAAAAAGTCAATAATATACTTATTTCCACAATCTCATTGATTTAAAATGTTTTGTAAGAAATTCTCAACATCATCTGTTTCCTCATGTGATGGATTTTTTTCTATAGTTTTAACTGTAATTATATCTCTCACATTGAATGGAATAGTTTCATTTATGACTAGATAAGTTTCTTCTTTCTCTTTTTTTTTAAAGAAAATGCTAATTTCCCATTGATAAATATACCCACAGATAAACAAAATATTGCTAAATTACATGTAAAATAAATCTTACTAATGAAACCATTAGATTCTAATACATATTTTCCATCATAATTTTTTATATCACTATCATCAATAGGAAGATCACCTAAGGTTAAATAAAATTCTTTATCTTCAGCTGGTTTAGGTAAATACAGAAAACCTCTTAAGATGAAAGAATGGTTAATTTTGAAATAATTTTAAAGATATGATTTTGTAACTGCATCCGTGTCATTAATTGGATTTTTAAAATTAGTTATTATTTTTATTTTTTTGCATCAAACACATCCTCATTATTTTTTCTTAAAGTATTATTTTCTAAATATCTTTTATTCACAACATTTTTGTCATCCACTGGATCATCAACATTTCCAATTCTTTTATTTTTTGCATTGAAAGCACCATTATGCATTTTAAGACATCTGTTATCCAATGTCTGAAGTTTTTTACTCGTTTCTGTTATGAAATTATTAATGTTTAAATTTAATTCATTAATATTTTTTTCTGAATTAGTTTTATCTGTTATGTGATCTTCCTCTAATATTTTTAATTTATTAGCATTTTCTTTAGCAAAAGTTTGAAAATCATTATTTAATTCATTGATTATTTTTAATTTATTATCAATATATTCTTTAGTTGCAGCATCGGTTTTATCTATTGGATGTTCACAATATTTTAAGATCTTATTTTGCATATCATAATTTCCATCATAAGTTAATTTGAAACCATTACCTGGAGGACCAGGAGGACCTTCTTTTACTTCATCATAATAATAAACAAAAGGAAACCATTCCATTTAATTACTTTAAAGTTTTAATGGTTTTAAAAGTCTTATTGTACATATTCATAATTCCTTCTCTTTTTTCAACTAAAACGAAATAAAATCTATACAGTTTGGCAGGTGTTTCTCTCAATTGCCAAAAGAATTCAACTTTCAAATTATCAACATCATTATAAGAGGGATAATTAGAAACATCGAAATGAATTATTGGATACAGTCTTCCATAGTTTGTATAACTTACTAAACAACCAGACTCTGTGTTATTAGTATTTAATCCTGNGACGTATATTAAGACATACACTACAACTTAATATGAAATAAATCAGTAAGAAATTATTTTATTATACTGATAAAATTCGCTAAGACGTTGTATAAAATATAAGTAATGAATTAAAATAAATGTTGGTTTTGAATTATTTTTCTAGAGGATGTAGCGTAACTAAAACTAATATTACAGAGGCCATAATTACAACCTGTACACTTAAATTCCTCCCAATGTAGGCGCTAGAGCTTGAGATGAAGAGTGGCTTCTAATATATTGTACAGTACATACAAGTATAAAAACAGAACCGTCGAGGGTTTGTATGGGGTCTGGTGGTTGCAGGAATTAATATTATATTTTTTTTTCGCCTATATCCTTATTGTTCTTGCTAATCAGAAACTACACCAGTATAATAAATCCTATTAATAAACAAGATCCAACTAGACATGACTAGAAATGTAAAAATTAATATTATAGTTTGTTTCATATAAAATGCACGATTCCACTGGTTATCTTACTTAGCTGCTTGTCACTTAGAAGCACACTTTGAATTATGTTACTGTTGTTTTAGCATGTATACTAAAACAATAGTAACCTAGTTATAGTCAAGGCCTCAGTGACTTGTAAAATCCATTATTTGATCCAAATAAGTGTATAAAAATTATTACAATAACAATATTCTATTAAATTCACATTAAAAGTCCACATACATATCAAGAGAACAAGAAGATCTGTTAAATTCGAAACCAAATTAACTTACATTTAATAGATTCTGTCGCTATAATAACTAGACGTATCAGACTAATATTCACTCGATAATGAGATTAGAATATATTTTTAAAAATCATATTCACATATTTAACAATAATTAGATATAAAATCATTACCTTCAAGTATCGAGTAAAAACGTTATTATAAAGCGGAGTAAAGTACCAACCGGGCAGGATAATCACGTGAGTAGAGTATCAATGACCTTTATGCCAGCATTTTCTTAATCGACGCACGTAAAAAAATTACACAATATACAACCAAGGACATTTGTGAAGTAAATACTATGATATGGCTCCTTCCGTCCGAATTTGTAAGAGTAAATCTATATTTGCGTTCAAATTGAAAGTAAATTTGTATAGAATAAACTTCTCTCTATTTACTAATGTCGTGTAATCACGTGTTTCAAGATTTGTAGATTAACATTGAGGTAAAACAAACTGAACTAGAGTATGCGCAAATCGATCGATGACGAACTTTACCACGTGATATCCCGTGGTGTTACGTTTACATTTCTACTCTTTCACTTAGCGAAATGGATAAATTTAAGGGTGAGTTTATATCATGGTTTTATTTCTTTTAACTAATAATCGTCTACGTACTAAAAACGTGAAGGGAATAGTAATTAATTTGTAAAATCTACATTCAGAGGGGCACTTGTTAGGTTACGTCACATAATGTTACTCCGTTACGTTACGTTGCACGTAAAGTTAATGATCACATAAACTTTAATTCACCCCCTGATGTATGCAATAGTGCTTTAATATAGCTTTAGATATATTAATTAGATATATTAAATATTAGATATTAATATATTAGATATATTATTTAGATATATTAATCAGATTAGAATAAAGTATAAAAAGTACATTAATATATTTAACAAATATCATTAAGTATAAACTGATTACCTTTAGATTTCGAATGAAAAGTTTATCGTAAAGAAGCGGAAGTTGCAAGGGGACAGGATAATCACGTGAGTAGACGAGTCGTAAACCCGCACAATACCTTTCCTGTTGTCATTTTTTTAATCGTAATGTAAAGAAAAAATGCAGCACACAACGAAGAGGGGGATTTATAAAGTAATAACTAAATTATAAGCATTCGTTGTCCAGGAAAATGAAAGTAAATTTACGTATAAAATCTCCTGTTTTAATTCCAAAATGTTATGAAATCACATGTCCTTGAAAAAGCTGATACGAGAGTATGGAAAACATCGATGATTAACTTCGCCACGTCATATCCCGCCTTCATGTTTCGAATAAATTTCTTACAGTATCACTAAACGAAATGAATAAAATTAACGGTGAGTGGATATTACAGTCTTAATACTTTAAATACATTGCTAAGCTTTAAAGATTATAGTGTAAATTTTAGAATTAAGTATTAAAAGTATTTTAAATATTTACCAAAGCGTATAGTATATTGAGAGGTATAAACATTGTTTTTTTCACTCTATACGATGCTTTTTAAGATTGTATAATACGAGATATTATTCTACTTAAATTTTCTTTCTTTATCCTGCTTTTCCGCCATGTTTTCTCCACCCGTCGTTTTCGGGAGCGCACGGGATGACGGGATAATTTCGATTGGCTGAATGTAAGATTTTTTGGTTAAGGTATCCAGCTAAAAAAGGTCTTATACTTAATATTAACGAATAGACATAGATAAATCTAGACGTAATTTGACACGCTGAATCGATTGGTATTAAAAAAATTACTTACGTTCAACCGTTTAAAAGTTACGAATGATTTTTTATTTCCGGCTATTTACTTCGTTTAAGAACAACTTTATTAAGAAATACGCAGGCACTCATCGATATTAACAAAACGAATTACTATAATTCACCATAATACATTCCATCTACGAGAGAAAGTGACATAAAAAATGCTAAAATGGTGTCGTTAGCCAGCGAACACGCGTAACCACGACAAGTGTGTAGGACAATTGACGCAGGGAAATTTTCCCTCACCGGTGGGGAATATGTCGAGCGTGACGTCACTTCTACAATTCCCTACACGCACGTGAGCAGTAACAGAAATAGTTGACACGGTAATATAATTTATTATATATTATTTAAAACAAAATTAAAAATTTAATAACAAATTTAGTTTTCCTCATGTTACTTTTTAACAACATTAACGTCTTTAGTTCTTTATCTCAAGAAATCCGCTGTTATGGAAAGGTCTCCAGCTTTAATTGCGTTTTATACGTATTCTTTCCTCGCTGTTCCACATCTAGGGGTTTATATGGCATGCACATACTACACACTCGTCATTAAAGCCTTCCTACGTCCATTTTATATCACTTAAACAGCTACGAACGCTTTTATCGTAGAGGCTGGCTGCTCTGTACTCCTCCCATCACAACTGAAGCAAAAGGTATCCAGCTTTAATTGCGTTAGATTTAAGATAGCTTTAACAGATAAAAAGGAAGCAAAAGGAGAGGGTGAAACCGTCATCCATCAAGTGGTACTAATCCTGAGGTTCAGATAATTAGTAGGGGTGAGACGCAGGGGCGGACTGGCCCTAAAATTTTTGTGTGGAAAATTTATTACCAGCCCAGCCCACAAATAAAAAAAAAATGTATTTTTTTCTATTTATATTTACTTGACAAAAATTACAATAATCACAAGTCTATATTCTACAATGTTAATTTTTTATTTAGAAGTTTGCTTTGTTGAGCAATAATATTAACGACATCATCAGAATGTATTTCGTTTAAAAAAATTCTTCTCCACTGACATTAACACGAAGGCTTCTAGATTTTTTTTGCGAGATACTTATAAGTATCTCAGCCTGCTTTTAGTTAATAATTTTAACATAGAAAAGTTTTGTTCACCGGACACTTGTGTTACAGACATAGATAGCAGATATTTGTATGCTTGACCAAGTATAGAATAAGCGCCACTTAACACGTTATATCTGAATAATATATTATAACAACAAATAGAGCAATTTTTGCAAGCAATGCAGTAAGAGAATAGTATATAAATGTATGTTTTGCCCCACAAATTTAAGATTTTTAAAATTATATGAATTTAATCTAATCAATATTAAAAATCATAAAATCAATAGTAAAAATTAACTAAATTTAAAAACTGTTGAAATCTCATTCACTTATTATAAAATTAACTAAATTTTAAAATTTCATTAATTTTTACAAAATTAACTAAATTTAATCACAATGATTTATTTAAACCAGTTTAAGAAAAGAAAATATAAAAAAAGTCAATAATATACTTATTTCCACAATCTCATTGATTTAAAATGTTTTGTAAGAAATTCTCAACATCATCTGTTTCCTCATGTGATGGATTTTTTTCTATAGTTTTAACTGTAATTATATCTCTCACATTGAATGGAATAGTTTCATTTATGACTAGATAAGTTTCTTCTTTCTCTTTTTTTTTAAAGAAAATGCTAATTTCCCATTGATAAATATACCCACAGATAAACAAAATATTGCTAAATTACATGTAAAATAAATCTTACTAATGAAACCATTAGATTCTAATACATATTTTCCATCATAATTTTTTATATCACTATCATCAATAGGAAGATCACCTAAGGTTAAATAAAATTCTTTATCTTCAGCTGGTTTAGGTAAATACAGAAAACCTCTTAAGATGAAAGAATGGTTAATTTTGAAATAATTTTAAAGATATGATTTTGTAACTGCATCCGTGTCATTAATTGGATTTTTAAAATTAGTTATTATTTTTATTTTTTTGCATCAAACACATCCTCATTATTTTTTCTTAAAGTATTATTTTCTAAATATCTTTTATTCACAACATTTTTGTCATCCACTGGATCATCAACATTTCCAATTCTTTTATTTTTTGCATTGAAAGCACCATTATGCATTTTAAGACATCTGTTATCCAATGTCTGAAGTTTTTTACTCGTTTCTGTTACGAAATTATTAATGTTTAAATTTAATTCATTAATATTTTTTTCTGAATTAGTTTTATCTGTTATGTGATCTTCTTCTAATATTTTTAATTTATTAGCATTTTCTTTAGCAAAAGTTTGAAAATCACTATTTAATTCATTGATTATTTTTAATTTATTATCAATATATTCCTTAGTTGCAGCATCGTTTTTATCTATTGGATGTTCACAATATTTTAAGATCTTATTTTGCATATCATAATTTCCATCATATGTTAATTTGAAACCATTACCAGGAGGACCAGGAGGACCTTCTTTTACTTCATCATAATAATGACCAAAAGGGAACCAAGCCATTTATTAAAAGGAAAATTTACTTTAAAGTTTTAAAGGTTTCAAAAGTCTTATTGTACATATTCATAATTCCTTTTCTTTTTTCGACTAAAACGAAATAAAATCTATACGGTTTAGCAGGTGTTTCTCTCAATTGCCAAAAGAATTCAACTTTCAAATTATCAACATTATTATAAGAGGGATGATTAGAAACATCGAAATGAATTATTGGATACAGTCTTCCATAGTTTGTATAACTTACTAAACAACCAGACTCTGTGTTATTAGTATTTAATCCTGCTGCTAAGAAATCAGAATAATATCTCGAATAATCTAATTCTCCAGGTTTAAAGCTAACATTATAATCTTCTGTTGGATATTTATCATTATTAATTCTTAACCAACATCTCATCATATCTAAGTTATCAAATATCATATTATTCTGGTTCTGATTATTTGCTTTCTCTATATATTGTGGAATAACAAATATACTTCTGATTTCATTTGTTGTTGTATTTACAATTATTGTACCACTAGAACCATTTTGAACGTTACTTTTAATTAATCTAACAGAACACCAATTAATTTCTATATTTGATGAGGGATTTAGAGATACATCATTAAAATGAACTTTTGGTTCTGGATATAGTTTAATATGTGGTAACCAAAGAGAAATATCAGATATTATAACTTTATAATTCGGATTATCAACATCAGTATGGATCATATCATTATTTGAATTTCTCCAGAATACAAATCTTACATCAATGTTTGATATTATTTTCTTAAAGTCATTGAAAAATCCAAACATTTGTTTAATTGGTATCCACAGTTTAATCTTGTTACTGTTTTTAGTTAATATCCATCTTTCTGTAAATCCTTTATTCTAATTTGCATTTTTCTTTAATCCTTTTAAAAAGGTTTCCATTTTTTTTTTAGTTCCAAACGATTGATCATCTGCTCCATCAAATATCAAAACTTGTTTATCTGATGATTCTGAGGTGTCAATGAAAAACAACATATTAGTTGCTTCAGAAGTAGAATAATCTTTTGTAAAGTTTATAAGACCTTTAATGTGATGAACTAATGAGGGTAATTCAATTTCTTTAATTAGTGTCTTTCCAATGTGTAATTCAGATCTCGAGAATAAATTTCCAGTATTTACCAAGGTTACGTTATCACTTCCAATCGAAGAACCATCCTGTTTCTTAATTTTTAGTTCTGGACAGATATAACCACTAGAATATAAAATCATATCATTTACATCTTTAATATTAAATTCATATTTTGCTGATTTCTTTTCATCGACAGTAACTTTATCTTCTATATACTGTTTGTACTCAAAACTTTCGATTTCATTGTTGTAATAATTAGGAAGAGTTAAATCCCAAATCTTTTCCATTTATTAGTAAAAAATTTTTTTGAATCCTGTTCCATATAATCTTTGCTTAGTTATAATATTTTTTACTTTGTTTTCCACAGTCGGGGATTTTTTAGATAAAATACTCTCTAGTTTATTTTTTACAAACTGTTTCGTCTTATCCCCAACCACAGATTTTGCTTGCTTGGCTGCCTATTATTTTTAACAACTTCTTACCAGCCGTTTTAATTGCATCGATAAATATATTTCCACCATAATATTTTTTACTTCGAACTAACAGTCTATGTTTATTATAATTCATTTATTTAGTTTAAAATTAAACGAAAAACAACTCTTTTGTTTATTAAGATCAATTAAATTATCATCCTGATCAGTTATCCACATTCGAATTCTATAAATATAATGATTTCCATTAATGTCTGCAAATATGAGATTAATCTCTTCAATTTTTATCAAACTTCCAGGTGGATGAGACGGTGTGAAAGAATAAAGAATATCACTAGTGAAATCGTTGTACTCTACTCCACTGATTACATCACAATGAATATGAATATCATCGATTCTTTTTGAAATATTTGCTATGTATTTTCCTTTCTGTTCTTCATCCTCATATATCTTTGGTTCGAAACCTAATATCTCGTGGAGTTTTCCTTTACTCAGATCAATTTTATATCCGGGTTCTAAATAAATTATAAATCTCGTTGTTGCAAAATGAATTCCAAACTTTATAGGAGGTATTCCAAAGAATTTTACTAAAAAGTTATTTAGTTCTCGAAGAGTGTAATTTCCATTTTCTATCGTTACTTCATTCCATTTTGTTTTATCAAAATATCTAAAGGTATTATTATTAAATTTTTCATCGATATTATGCCAAGAAACCCACATAGACATTGATTTCAGAGCTAATTTCGAATTATTTACAGGTATTGGAGTTTTAAACTCAATTGTAAAGTATTCTGATTTATCAACATATTTCGAATCTAAGACTATTAGTTTCATTTATACAAAAAAAAATTCTCATTAAACTCGCTCGGTTCTTGTGTAAATGAGTATAAAACATCAATGGGAGAGTTTCCTTTATTTATTTCTACTATGTATTTCATACAATAGTAACCACATCTAACAGATGTAGGATTCTGAAGAAAACTAGAGTTATATCCTATTTCTTTTTTAGATGTTTTTAAATATTTTATAATTTCTTTTGGAATTATCTCTCTTTTCAATCTTACATTTTTTAACTTATATTCTCCAAAAGGATCGAAGAATTCAACGAAGGGATATTTTG